ACGTGAATTTTCTAAAAGTTCCATAATATGAAGGTGTAATTGAGACATGACAGTTGCAATTTGAAGAGGGTTCATTTTTGTTAACTTAAAAAATAAAATAAATTATGGAAAGGGGGCAAAAGAAAAAATAAAAAAATAAAAAATGAAATCCAGTCCAGACATTTTAGCAATTCGAGAAAACATCAATTTTAATCATCCATAACAAGCCATTTAAAAAGCATCGTCACGAATTTCTGAGAGAATACATCTTTTTGGAATCTGAGGTAACCTTTCACCAAAAAAAAAAAAAAAAAAACGGAGAAGAAAAAAAAAGTCCTATATTTGGACCATTAAAAAATTTTTTTGTGTGCTTGTGAGGGGCCTAAGTAACGCACCACCTAGCTTTCAAACATGGATGAATAAACTTCTTGCTGAATACGTTGATAAGTTTGCACTGGTGTATTTGGATGACGTCTTGATTTACAGCCATACACTAGAGGACCATTATCAACATGTAAAGAAGGTGCTTCAACTATTTGAGGAGGCCGGATTAATTGTGAACAGTAAGAAGTGTCATTTTGCTAAGGAAAAGCTCATCTTCTTGGGGTACGAGATATCTGGACAAGGAATAAGGCCATCATCAGAGCAAGTGGTTGCGGTGAAGGAATGGAAGATACCTCAGACAGTACAACAAGTGAGACAGTTTCTCGGGTTAAGCCAACACTACAGGCGCTTCATTCCCAATTTTAGCTCAATAGCTGCTCCTTTAACAGATTTAACAAAAGGTACAGGTCATAAAAAGAGAGCCATAAAATGGACGGAGGAGTACCAGAAAAGTTTTGAAAGGATAAAAATACTACTCACTACTGCACCCTTGCTACAGGTACCGGATATGTCACGGCCATTTATCATTGAGACAGACTCTAGTGATTTTGGGGTTTGGGCTGTTTTGTTGCAACCAGCTTTAGAAGATACTACCTCAACAGTGGAAAGCAAGTACACGTCGTGGCATCCAGTGGCATACGAATCCAAGAAACTGTCGGCTGAAGAACAGAAATTCCCAGCACAAGAAAGAGAGCTCATTGGAATTGTGCATGCATTACGGACTTGGAGGTGTTTTATAGATGGGTGTCAAGAAGGCTATGTAGTGTATTCTGATCATAACCCACTGGTTTATTTTCGTCAACAAGCCAAACCAACGCCTAGGTTGGTTCGTTGGATTAGTGAACTAGAAATGTATTCACCCGTGATCAAGTATAAACCGGGCTCAACCAATACCGTAGCCGATGTATTATCAAGAAAAGATATGGACAATTTACATCAGCAAGATAGCGTGTTATCGTTGGAATCGGACTACTTGTATTCGTTATGGGACCGCTTATCACCAGAAATGGTAGCTGACTGGCCATTACTATACCTTAATCAGGGGGAAAGCAAGGTGATGGACCCAGAACTTAAAGCATTATTGGTAAAGGAACGTGACAAATTCGTGGTACAACACAATCTGATATTCCGAAAAATCAAAATTCAAGATGCGGACAAGAAGCTAATGGTAAAAGAGGCAAAATTTATTCCATTCTCGGAACGAGCCGACTTGGTCTCGAAATATCACGAGGATTACGGTCATGCTTCGTTTAAAACCATGATGAACTTGTTTGTTGGTAGATACTGGTGGCCGACTATGCGAAGAGACATTGAACAGTGGATTTCTCCTTGCCCGGCATGTCAGTTGAATAGCAAGAAAATCACCAAGCATCAAGAACCAATGCATCCTCTTCCTGTTCCACATGCGTTTGAGAGGTGGCATCTAGACTTTGTGGGGGAACTACCATTGACGGTAAATGGTAACAAATGGCTAATTACAGCTGTAGACTATACAACCAATTGGCCGATAGCGATGGCGGTACCAGTGGCATCAAAAGAAGCGGTAGCAGATTTTATTTATAAGGAAATTGTGATGAAATTCGGTAACCCAAAAGAAATTATCACGGACCGGGGCGCAAATTTCTGTAGTGGCTTAGTGGAGGCGTATCTAAAACGGGTTGGAACTAATCACAAGCTTACCTCTGCGTTTCATCCGCGTACAAACTCAAAAGTCGAAAGGTATAACGCCATCATAAAGGAATGCTTCGAAAATACGTGAAAGGCAGTATTCATCGCTGGGACGAGTATGTCGAAAGCGCCTTATGGGCTACGAGAGTTCGAGTTCATTCTACAACTGGATTTTCACCGTATTTTTTAACATACGGACGACAACCTAACCTGCCAGGTGATGCAAACCCACCATATATTTGCGAAAAATCAATCAAGGACCCACGAACAATCGCGGATATTACAGCAAGAGAGCTTGAATCTTTAGAACAACATCGTGCTGCAGCCGAGTTTCGATTGAAGGCCATGAGTGACAAGGATAAAGCCAGGTGGGACGCTCTTGTGGTACCGGTGGATTATGAGGTGGGCGATATGGTGATGGTGACTCATGAAGGTAAATTTGGACTTGAACCAAACTACAAGGGGCCTTATATCATAACGCAAGTACTCGAGGGATATGGAACCTGCCGATTGGAGACAATTCAAGGTGAGCCGCTTTCATCGTTGGTGCATAAGGATAGACTTAAGCTTGCCAAAGGACCAAAGCCTACAGAAGCCTGGTATAACCCTACGGATAGTCGTGCTATAGTCAAAAACATCACTGCCACACGTAGTGGTCGAGGAGGGGGAGGACATCACGTCATTGTGCCAATTCGTGCTGATCAAGATTATGTAGACCCTGTAGTTGGTCCAGATCCGTCATTACCAACAGGCTCAAAAACAAGACCTCAGCATCAAGAAGCATTCGGTGAAACCTCAGGCAACAAACAAAATCCAACTGATATAGTACCTAACTCAAACGAGGGCAGCAATCAAGATGGACAAGCAAGAAAGAAAGCAACAAGGGCTCAAGAAGAAGCGGCGCTAGGTGAAGAAGCTCAAGATCTATGGTTTGACGCGATGGAAGATGACAAGGTGCTTGATGTTGAAGGTGAACAAGTGCAAGATAAACCGGAAGGTGACACAGACTCGGCAGGGGAAGAGAACAAATCAACTGAAGATATAACTGATTCAGACATGAAGCATATTGTGGACGGATATGACAGTATATCATCAGCGGATAATATCATCGATGAAGAGTTATCTGAGGCAAGCTCATTGAAAAATGATTCGAGGAACGCATCGCCAACACCCGAACAAAAAGCGGAAGAGGCAAGTCAAGCAATCGAAGTAGCAACACAAACGGATACTCCAGAAGCATCATCGGTGACCCGATCATCTCCAACAAAGGAATCAGCCAGAGGTCAAATCAAGCCGGCGGTCTACAAAAGCGAAATGAAGCGTATCATACCTACTCCAGTCAAGCTAACAAGATCAATACCCATCGCAGTACCTATTCAAGTACCGTCAAATAAACCCGTAATAGCCAAGGAAAAATTCGAGGTGCCTAAAGAATCAAAGTTTACCTATCGATCAAAGCCATTATTAGCACCAAGCTTCCATGGAAAACGAACAAGTCAAGAAAAAGCAGAAAATTTTTCTTCAAGACCCACTACAAATGCAAAGGATACGACCACAAATGAGTGGGGACACTCATCAGACTGGGAAGGGGGTATTGTCAGTACGCCAAATTATGATAGCAGAATACCAAGGCCACCTAAGTTACACACACGGCCAACTTTTAAGCCAATCACGCCAGCTCGATTTAAGCGTCAGCGATTGCTATACATAGCGTTGGGTATCATACCGTTCCGGCCCGGACACAATTAAATAGTAGTATAAATATATTTTCCCTGTTTATTTCAATAAAGGGCAGCTATCTTTTAAGTAACTCTAAACGTGCTGATAGACCCTAACCTTTGGGTATACATCCATCCATCAGCGAATCACACGAATCAACGACTGACAAGATTGTCATATGCTTTTCTGATTTTGTCGGTTGTTCCCATTGAGCCAATCACATGACTTTCACGTGAGCGCGTAAACCTTCGGCCGAAGCAAGAGTCGTTTTTGATCCTTCTGGTAAATCCTCTTTGGTTGGTGTGGAATGTCGTGATGAGGTGAATGTAAGGTGGTTTTGTTTTCGTTTTGCTTGGTGTTTGTCTTTGTTTCCTTTGTGTTTTTGCCCTCGTGCAAGGGTTGCCTCACCTTTGGTATTCGTACTTCTCTTGTAGTAGTACTGTAGGACATAAAGAGTAATACTTTGTGTCTGAGCACAAGTTTAGATTCAGCTCGTTTTGGTCAATTGTGTTGCTGGTCACCAATTTGTACTCAGTGCGAGGTGGTATTATTTCTGTTGTCTGTGTCTGTGTTCGTGTTCCTGTTTTCTTGTTCTCTTCTCGTGTTGCCTCGTTTATCTTGTTCATACAAGATTAGATTACTGCAATATCGATCCTGACATCTAGTCTTACGTGTGATATACACCCTCTTTATAGTAATAGTATGAGTAATCTTCTCATTTTGCTCTTGCAGTACAAGATGTCGTGCTTCTCAAAGAATAATCTGATGTAATCACAATTAATGTAAAAGATATAAAAGGCCCTCAAAAAGCCAGAATCTTAATAAATCTTATCTTATTTTTATCTCTAAATTTCGGACCTGTGTGTAGTTTTGTGAGCTATTGGTATTTTGTCTACTTGAATCATTTCTATTAGCCATCCAATAACGTAGGTGTATTATTGCATTAATGGATCGTTTGTCGAAACTTATTAACATGACCATTTATTTGCTGGGTATTATAGTCTGCTGCTACCTCTCATTTATTGCCCTCTTATCGTTTGAGAACACTACCCATTGTCCAAATGACGATAACCCGAATACTAGCTATATTCATATTACAAGATAGTTTTATTGCGCGTTAAAAATTCACCTTCTTATATACTTTTTTTCGACTAAGCCACCCGTTAAAATCAGCGATAAAATCAATTTGACCAAAAAAGGAACTATTAAAAATCAAGTCGGGCAGTAGATATTACCTGCACAAGCAAAGCATGTCACACGACCCTACGCCCAACGATCAGGAGGTCACGATACGTATCCCCTATTTATCGCCTACCTTAAATGAAACAACAGCAGCTACTAGAAATGTCAGAAAAAATAATAAGACCCAACAAAAAAATACGAAAACAAATGAAAAAGAACAAAAAAATGAAGCAGGAAACAATACACCATCAACCGCGCTAGGCATAATGGATATAGAACAAGATAACAAAAAACCAAAAAGCGATGCAACAGGAAAAAAAAGGAGTGCACCGATCTCCCCTGGAATAGGAACAAATGAAGCATTGGATACAATAGATTTAACAAACAAAGAGCATCTAAACGAACAACAAATTGAATTCATCATCAAATTCAATAAACATCAGAAACAAATTGAATGCAACAAATGTAAAGGGGCATGGATAAACATAAACCGAATTGATTACATTGAAATGGGAGAAGAAGGATATGCAGAAATAGTACTATCCTGCAAAAAATGCACAAAAAAATACACAATGGACGAGGCACAAGAGTTGACATTAAAAGTAACAAAAGAAAAAAAAAGACAGATAGATGATACAAGAACAACAGGGAAGGACAAAAAAAAAGGAGGGGAACTAAAATTCACAGCAGATGTAGAAGCCATTATGGAACAGTATGAATTAGGTAGAGAAAAAATAGCATGCCACAAATATGGAACAATTGGAACTATACAAAAAAATGGAAGAAACCAAGGAAAACCACCAAAGCCACAATACAAATGCAAACACTGCGAAAAAGGAACAACGTTTGCGGAGATGAAAACTATTTTAAAATATGAAACAAGAATAACAAACGAGGAACAGATGGAAATAGATACAGAAGATAAAAGTGAATTTGAAGATGACAACGAAAATGATATTTCAGATATTACAGACACAGAGATGGAAGAAGAGGATGAATCAACAGGAAAAATAAATGTCTGGAACGAAATGAAGCTGTTGAAGAAAAGATTAGAAAAAACAGAAAAAGAAATAAAAAAAATGCAGGAGCTGATTAGGGAGAACATCAACCTGACAAAAGAAAATATTGAACTAAAAAAGAAACTGCGAGAAATGGAAGAAGAAAATGAAGCAGAAGAGTACAAGGAAACAAATAATAACAACATCAAATATCAAGCAGAAAAAATAAACCAAAGTAACAACCAGAACAGTAACATGAACTCACAAAACGAGTTCCCATACTTAAAAGCAACGAAAAGCAATATAGCACAACAACAAATCAACAACAACAACAGCAATTGGACCAAAAGAAGAAAAAATCAATTTTTTCGACAAAACAACCCAACCAAAAAACAATTGAAAATAGCAACAAGAACATTCGAAGAAAAAAAGGAAGAGAAAAACTCTATAAACATACATATACCATGCAAAAGACGAATGAAACCATCCGAAATTAGAAAAAAATTAGCCTTCGTAGGAATCGACAATATTCAAGTACTTGATACATACTGTCCAGATTAAGATACAGTACTACTATTAATACACGAAAAATATAAAGACACAGCAGAAAAGAAATTAGAACAGGCGGGTATATTCACAAAGGAATATAACTACCTACATATTTCACATTTAAGAGACAGCAAACTAGCAGGACTATCGACAGAAGAAAAATAGCAAAACTGGAGCAAATTAGGAACAACTGTTCAATGAGAGCCTTAGAATTTATTAGAGAGCCGGTAAAAACATCAGTAGCAAGATGCTTTTACCGCCAAAATGTTATTACCGAAGACCAACTGAAACAAATATTGACAGGAAGAAATATGAACGAAGCAATGGACATTTTTCAGGAACCAGCAACAAAAGAACAACCAATCGGAGGTAATCCAGAAGGATCTCAAAAAACACCAGCAACACATTAAAATTGATTATTCAATTAGCGAAATTAAACCCTGAAGATCACCTGTCAAAATAACAAGAAATTCATGCAACATTTTCCCTTTCCCATTTTTAACTTTTTTTCCTTCATCACATATGAAGTTTTTTAGACACACCTTTACTTTATTTTATTTTTTACTATATTTTCATTATTTAAAACGAAACATAAGAGGAAGTAACTAGTACTCATCATCCTCACCAATAAACACTTAAGTTATACTATCGAAGAAGAAGATAAGATTGTCAAGCCCACAATTGTTGATGGTTCTTATGCTTTTTTAAGCCACCACTCGTACTTTAGTATTGAACCTGGATCATACCTGGATCCATCATTTACCAACATACCCGGATGGCAGTATAATTTTTTTTTTTTTTTTTTTTTTAGCGCTAAAGAAAATTTTTTTTTCTTGCCGGGCAGTTTGATTTTTTTTTTGTGCGGCGTTTTTTTTTTTATTTTTTTATTTTTTTTTTGGCAAAGTGAGTTCGTATACTTAAAAACGGCGTTTCGGTTTGAGTTATAGACAATTTTGTGTTTGTTAGAAAACGCATATGCACTTGTATCTGAATGGTGATAACTGTACGGTTAAGCCATAAATGCTTATTTTACTTACAGTTACATTCGTCATTTGTTTTGCTTAATAATTCACTGGAGGCATGTGTTACTATCACTGTATGACTAAGCTATGTAAAAAGTGTTTGCTCAAGAAGTTCTGTAGGAAAGCACTTGCTTTTAATCTTTTTGAAATGAAGATGCAGTGTCCATTTCAGTATAAGTCTGACGAGAGTAGGATATTATTTATGATAATAACCGTTTATAACACGCTTAAACGTAAGCATAAAGTAGTCCAGGCTGACCAGCTGGAACTGGCCTCATTTCCCATGTCTTAAGCGCCTTAGGATTATCATTGAACATAATAACGTACGAGGCTTTTTCAAACCAAACCTCCGTTTCGGTAAAAATTTTGACCTTCGCTGCGCTGCGGTAAATTTTTGACCTGCACTATGGTTCGGTACGCTGCGCTTCGAAAAAGCCTCGTGCTGCCGCAGGCCTGTTTTTGAAATCAAAAACTTATATTAATTAACCATGAAGCCCACGCGCCATTATAGCTTAAGCTACACTGCTGATTATCAGTTTGACACTGGAGAAAACTTTGATGTTTCTCATTACATGTTTAAATAAAAGACGATATCCCTAAACCCAGGCTAGAAAGTTGATGTACGCAAAAAGTATTAATTGTTTATATATCTGATTAACTATTTTATGCGCAATGTTTAATGCTATTAACTGCTATACTGGGGCGAAGGGTAACCTTTGCCACAAAATCTCCATAGTTACTTTTTTTTTGAATGACTTTTTCAGTAAAGTCACTTTTATATTATGACTCTCTCCAAAATAGTCAATTTTTATATACGCTCTTTTTTTCAGTATAATGCTTAATGTTATGGGTCGTATTCTTCGAAGAAGGGTTTTTCCCAGCCTCTAATTTTGTACCTCTGCTAAAAAATATTACGAAGTAAAAAAAATTAACGCTTTAAAAACATAGGGCTGTAAAAAAATTCACGGTATTAAAAAAAATTATACTTTAAGATATTATTCTGTAGAAAAAAAAAAGGAACATTGTTTTTCAGAAGGTAACAATTTCATGCTAATACTATGGGCCGTATTCTTGGGTGGAGGGGTTCCCCCTCCCCCGAAACCCCCCACCCCTCTTGCGGGGGAAACCCCCGCACCCCCCTTTAAAATCTTAACTTTTGTAACTTTTGTGACTGAAAGTTAGCTCGCCTTGTGACTGTTTTTTACGATTTCTATTTTTTTAATATTATTAATGATACCAGACGATCTGCGCTATTTCTCAAGAGATACAAAGAATTACATGCTTTAATTCTATTAAACAGCTTAAATAGATTAAAAATTAAAGGTAGAAAAGGAACGAAAGAAAAAAAGTGAATTAAAAATTAAAGAGAGGAAAACAAAGAAGAGAAATTGAAATTAGAGAAGAAAAAAAAACACATGATAACATAGAGAAAATAAAAAGAAGAAAAAAACAGATATAAAAAAAAAGAGATAACAAAAAAAAAGAGATAACAAAAAAAAAGAGAAAAAAAAAAGAGAAAAAAAAGAGACGAAACAAAAAACAAAAAAAAAAGGGAAAAGAAAAAAGAAAGAAAAGAAAAAGTAGATTCTAATTTTATTTGAATGAGCAAAAAAAAAAAAAAGATCCGGCCACACTCAAGGCTAATCAGCCTTCCCGGGGGCATTTTTCTATCCGACGCGAGAACTTTTAAGCTAATCATATGACATAGTTTTTTATAACATAAGCATACGTATTAAATATAAATCATAAGTGTATAATAATAATTGATAAACGCATAATTGCTGATAAGCGGAATATTTCATAGTTTGTTAAAATGTAATATAAAGAGGATCATGGTAGCTTGTAAATGATATGTATCTGTCATCGTCTTGAGTAGTAAAGTTGGTATATATATTATCAATGAACGTCCCATTGTTTGTCGTCGACTGCATATCATCTGGCATAGCCGAACGGAGACCATATTGAATAAATTTGGTTCTTTCAGTTGATTCCATGTTAAAGTTGATATTAAAATCACCACCAATTATTATTTTGTCGTTCCCAGTAATATGCAATTCTATTATAGGGAGAGCTTCATCTATTTTAAATTTTGGTGATATATAGATGGATAAAACAAGCATATTGACTGAACTATGTAAATCCGGCTATAGAAATACTCCCTTCACTGGATAAATTCAATACCTGTATTTTGCGAAGTTCGGCGATTTGAGCTGAATAATTTTTGATGATACACATGGCGCCATAAGCTTTGGAAGACCTCAAATCTACTGTATCGACCCTTGCAATTTCGCTAAATTCTGGAATATCAAATTGTTGACTTTCGGTTGTCAACGTTTCGGACAGCAACGTTATATCTGATGACATATAGATTGCATCATGAACTATTTGATCAATATACGCATTTAAACTTTGAACGTTATGTGATATGATTTGCATTGTTGTATGGGGAAGACGTAATTCGTGGAATTTAGGATTCAACTGAACTGTCTGTAATCTAGCCAATTCTATTGCAAGATCATCTTTTGGATCTGGGGCTGTTGTAGGAATAAATGTTTTGGCGATGATGAAAAGGCCAGCAGCACTTGTGGCTCTTGAACAGGCAACGTACATTTTAGATCTCTCTAACTTCTGACCTCTAGTTCTGCTGAGATCTAAAAGGACGTTGGCGGTATGTACCTCCTTGACTTTTATGTACTGTCAATGCTTCTGCTACATCCACCGGGAATTGAGTTCTTTGAACTTTTATGACAGGAGAATTTCTATCCACTTTAACTGAAAAGTTGCCGTTTGTGTAGTCTAAACGTACCCAGTCGGGTGGCATACTACTACTGGCGGCTACTCTTTTTCTTTGCATCTTTCCCGATCGTTCATTTTCCATCAGTAACCATATGCGAAGGGGTTTTTTAATACCTATCAAAGATGTTGTTTTTGATAATCCAAAATCGACTTGTTTCAAAATCCCAGAAGTTCTGTTTACCAGTCCATGAGATGTATCGATGTTAATGGTAATCATGTAACGTGCACCAATACGCAAGTTCAGAAGAAAACGTAGACCACCTGTTTTGTTATGCGGAAGTTCTTTTAACTTTTCAAGCGAAGAGTCTTTTACTCTAGCATCTGAACGTTGTAGGGTCACTTTATCGTAACATGCCGACTCATAAATAGCAGTATTCATGCCACTCAGAACATCTCCCTTACATTGAGCAACTTCATCATTTGTAGAGTAGAGTCTGATTATTTCCTTTCCATTTTCTCTAGCCTCATCAGGTATTGAAGAGAACGTACGGCTTGAGAACAGTTTAATATCTTCTTCAGTCATTGTACTACGAGCCATGTTGTTTAAGGCTACGGCAAAATGAGCATCATCTTTTTGGCGCATGATTTCTGTCAGATAATGAACTTCAAATGAAAGCCACAGTTCTTCAAATTTTAATTTCTTAATAGCATCACCCGGAAAACCTTTCTAAAACGCATAGTCATGTACGGGAGCGAGTTGATAAAAATCACCAAACAAAAGCATATGTCTTCCTCCGAAAGGATGGTTATGCCCAAAAATATCTCTTAGTCGTTTATCAACCAAGGAAGATGTCTAGTGCTCATCATGCTTATTTCATCGATTATCACCACTTTTAATTTAGCTAAAGCAGCAGTCATAGTGTTAGAAATATCAGCTGAAAGTTCGTAGATATCTGCGTGATTATTAGGAAAGTAAAATGCCGTATGCAGAGTTTTATCATAAATATTAAAGGCAGCTTTCCCAGTAAAAGCAGTCAGAATCACAGAATTACTTGTCAAATCTCTATCTCTGTCAACATCGTAATGTCTGATGAGAGATTGAAAGACTGTTTTAATGAGCATGCTCTTTCCTGTTACCGCGCCACCCGTAATAAACAAGTACAGAGGTTTTTCGTCACAACTTTCATGGCGGACGTGATTCATGATATGTGTTAAACACTCTCTTTGCCCTACATTTAGCTTAGCCTGTGGTATTTGACAAAAATATTACAATAAAAAAGTAATGAGAAAAAAGTATATCTTTATTGGAGGTAGAAATAGAATAAAAGAACTCTGCTGCGATGAAATAATTGATCCTTTTTATATTGAACAACTTCCCCTGGTAGTTGTGTTGAGTCAACCTTTCTGGTCTTGTAATAAATCTATACTCAGTTTCCCGCCTTACATTAAATGAATTCTACTCGTTAAAACTGACTTCTAATAACTTCGCCCTGAATCAACCGATCTGGGACACTCTTATTGTTCTGTTTAAAATACAGAATTCCAGTAAGATATTGTGTAACGGCGGCTAGTTAAAGGATGCATAAGGTTTTTGTGTTTAATTGGCTGTGGTAGAACATGTAGTTATGTCTGATCATTTATCCATTCTGTTAATTATTTTTATCTAAGACATGGGTAAATATGTGATCCTAAATATAGAACATCTTATCAATGTTTGTATATTTAGTTGTAGAAAATAGGCATCCAAATATTCCATGCACTACTTCTCTTATACACTTACAGTCATATAAGTTGTGTTTATCAATATATAAGTAAATGAACCATTTATACAAACAGCTGTTCTATTCTCTCTATGGGTAGCTAATCCATTGAGAGAACTATTAATATTAAGTTTCTCTTTCTTATATTTCTTGATTTGATCGGAGAAGCTTCTCTTCCCGATAGGTGATATCGTAACTCAGTGGTATAGAATTGTATATCCAACTGTCATTCGTATATTGATTTTAAGCCAATCATGCAATCTTTTTATATAGAAATATGTACTTATAGTAGGAGTCGTTGTGTAGCAGTATACAGGTGTATGCTGTTACCCAATACTAAAGGATGTTTTTATTCCATGTTTTTATTTTATTCCATTTATTTGTTTATTCTCAAATAAATCATACCCAAATACGACATAGCCAACAGCTATTGATATGCCATGTTTTCAATTTGATCAGGTCGAGTATATCTTGCTGCTGATACATTTCCATTACTACTGGACGATGCACTATAGGAAGTTCTCGTGGTTTGAAAAGTTTCAACAGCAGTTTGTTCATCTTCTGACTGGGATGTCCATTAATTTCATGGTTTATATCAACTGCAATATCTCCTGATAATGAGTACATTCTGAAATCTTTTTCATTCCTGCTGTTAGTAACATCAGACTGGTCGTGATCATCCGCACCATCTTCATCATTGTTTTCTTGATTCATAGCATCTCGAGCAAATTTTTCAAGCGCATCTTCATCAAGAACACTAAATTCTCAATGCCGTAATAGCAACACTTCGAAATTTTCTTTGTAAAAAGAAACAACGTCAATTCCATCCAATTCTTTTTTCTGATGTCTCCAAGGGTGATACAACATAAGCATATGATAAGCGAATGTATATCCATCTTTCATGGAATCGGGTTTGTAAAATCTGATAATTCTCGATCGTTTTATTTTTCCTATAAACCCCATTTATTTCTCGAGATCTATCCAGGTATTGCTGCCACCATCTTCTCGCTCTTCTTCGTCGGCAGTATTATCTTCTTGATCGTCATTTTGCAAATCAGGGTCACAGTGTATAGCTCTTTTACTCGATTTGGGCCTTTTTTTAGAATATGAGTAGTAAGCAGTAAACTGAGCAAGGTTGGTTTCTTCGAAAGTATCTGGTCTATTTTGATAATAATCCAATAAGCCAGACAAATATATGTCTTCGGAGTCAGGATTGACTCTAAGCAAATCAGCTTTAGGTTTTAACATTCGACATCTGTTTTCTTCTTTTCCGGTAGGAATATGCACCGTTGAGCGGCTAGTTTCACTCATTCGAAGTTGTAGTAGATAATATGAAGCTTCTTGTGATGATACTTCGCAAAAATTATAATATTTCGATGTTAATGAACTCAATACACTGAGCTTTCTTTCGCTTAAAGAATTTTTACAAAAGGTATTTCCATCCAAAATCTTGTTCGCATCCATCCGTTATCAAATCTTTGTCTATCCGTTCAAATGTTTTGTGCATTCGATTCGTCTCCTTCTGCTCCATCTTTTTGAATTAATACGCTTTCTTGCATCTCTTTGATCTCGTCTTCAATTTCGACATTCAACACATTTGTGAAAAGATTTTCGTATAACTCCCGATCATTAAACTATGTCAATTTCACCAGAGTTTACCTGGGCAGATATTGCAGCTGTTGGGAACGCCAAGAAGGTTCTTCTTCCCATACATGTCTCTGATGAGACTGATTCTGAATACAAGCGTGAAACTACCATTATTTACGAAGATGAATGTCTAGAGGCTCTCATCTTAACACAACAAGCGATGTCCATCGTAAAACAAATGTTGACTGATGGATCTGTTTTGTTTTCTTTCCCCGCGACCGTATTCAAGCATCGTGTCGAGGCTTACGAGGCCATTGAATCCCAATGTGGTCCTCTACACGGCGTTAGACCCATTAGTTATTATGGGGTTCCTTCTGACAGTAAAATGTTGTTGGAGGTTAAGTTTCTGGATGATGGTAGCACTATGAAGGCTATCACCAGTGGTGTCTCTGTTCAAGACAAGATTTTTAAAGCTTTTCGAACAAATTTTTCCGACAAAAATACTCTCGTACACGTCAAGTTCTCGATTTTATATATCCCAGATCAAGAAAACTTTCTGGAAGATTTTTTAGCATCTCTAGTGTATTATGGACAAGTATTACAAATCAAGGAGTATTCCTGTGGTCGTTACTTTGAGGGTCAGATGTCCGTCATTCTGAACACTGCGGTAGGCTACACGGATGAAGATGATGAATATCACGCTAGTGTACCTTTGTCAAACAGCTTGTATCTATCCGAATGGGACTGTTTTGCTACTGCCACCTTTAAAGGTGCTCCTTCTGTGTGTCATTGGTGCCATGTTGCTGGTCATATTCGTTCCAAATGCCCGGAATTAGCGAAGACCAAATGTTTTGTATGTCATAGTCATGGTCACACAGCCAAGTTTTGTAAGAGGGGAAAACGTTCCGTTGTTAGGCAGCCTGTTTCCGCTGAAGTATCCCAAGATATTGACTTGGATTCAACTGATTGTCTTGATGCCAATATTGTGTCCGACTCAGACACTGATATTTCTGATGTATCTACATCGCCCAAGATTGTTTCCCGTGGTTCCGAGGCTTCCAATTTTGCAACTACTGTTGCTAGTGTGTCTGGAGAGGTGGACCATGTAATGGATACCACCACTCTTCCTTCTTCAAACGCAGAATTGGTTGGTAGAACTGGTGGGACCGATAAAGATCTTAGTCCGCAACGTTCTGCTTTAGGTAAACATCCTGCCTCTAAACAGAGCGTGAAAGGGACGTTTCCCAAATTGGTGGCTCGAACACCCCCTACTCTAAAAGGTCATAATTTGTTTACGAAGACTAAGGTTGTTAAAAAATAACCATTTTAATTTCCCCTTTCGTTTTACGTATAATTCACGTATTGCTAAATAAACTTACTGTTCATACAAAAAAAAAAATGATCTCAATACACTTTTTATGGGACCGGGTTTGTTGACGCTTTCAGCTAAAACTGTCAAGTACTTTTGTCATCTCCTTGTTTAATTTGTTGATGTAGTCAACGATGTTCCTACAACAGGCCTAAGGATCCAAAATGCACTGGATATCCATATTTGCTTGATGCATGTCAAGTATGATAGAATTGTAATTGTTTATAAAAACTTCGCTGAAGCTTCGTTTTAACAACACTTTAGTGCATGGCAATAATGATCTGATAGCAAGAATATAGTTTTCATAGTTGATGTCGAAGAGAATAAGAAAATCATCAAATGATAAACCGTTCTCCATGGTCGATAATGTTTCGGCTTGTTCGGATAATAGTTTTTTTATAGATTTACCTAATTCTATATGCTGTCCACTTTTTTCTACTTTTTCAGCAGTTGGCTTTTCAGGTAATTCGGATAATGTAGTCAATATTTGTGTTTCTTTCATCGGAAAAAAAGGAATATTAAATCTACAGATTTTTTTTCCATTTCTCTTAAAAGACTTTTTGAAACAGGTAAGTGTATGTTTATGTGTCTGTCGTAATTTCACCAAATTTGTTAATCCAGGATAATTGTTTTCGGCTGGATTCAGTGTACAAGTAACCATCTTATCAATAAATTCCCCGACAATATCTTCATTTGATCCATCAAAGACAGGAGCATTCGACAGCCATACCAACATATGTACATGAGGGCTGCCTCGATGTTGAAACTCTATACGATAATAATAATTATCTACTGAATGATTTCCAAATGGTCCATATGGAGGTTTCCATGTTGATTTGAGATGACGGAAACGTCTATCAAAATACCAAGCACATGTTGGAGCATCAGCTTGTATAAGTCTAGCAATATCATCACTCGACAGAGCTGCTGCTTCTTCTTCTATAATGTCATGCTTGTCAACCAGTTGTTTAAGGATCACAATCAATTCTAGCCACTTGGTCTCTGCAGCTGACAGTGTTACAAACAATGTTGGGATTCCGAGTTGTCTAATCATGGCCATAACATTACATTTTTCGATTTTCCAGTAGGCTGGTGAGCTTCAAACACCACTAAAAACATTGAAAGCCTCATCCTTTTTGATTTTGTTTTGAACAATATCGTCTTGTAGAACCTGATTTGCTTTTAATAAATTATTAGTCGGTCGGCTTTTACGCATTATTGTTGACACACCTCCAACTGAACTTAGCAGTAATCTTTTTTTATCCATATAAAACAGGTAGTCTGGACGTACTGCACGACGATCAGCACTTGTTATGAGGGATTTTGTTAGACAAGCATACGATAAAGGTTTTTCATTGTGAGTAGGTGTTAATATTTGACTAGAAAATATTTGCGGGAAAGCCAAAAAATCTGTATCTTCGTCCATTAGCAATGATAATGCAGTTGATTTCTCTCCTGGCGCCATCTTTAAACCACCCTCATTTCCATCTGGTACTTCATCACCTGAAAATAAGGTTTTACTACCACCAATGGGTATGTCATCCTCGAATATACCATTATCGTCTCCAACGCTATTATCATCATCTTCATAATCTTCAAATTCAAAACTACCGCGATTTAAACGTGCATGACTACTGAACCAGCTGTCATCAATAGTGACATTAAACTTCTGATATGCAGGTTGTGATTTCAAATAATGGATAGACTCCCATACATATCTGGGATTAACATTTCTCTCCATATAATTATGAACATCCGACATTTTTCTTGCTAATCTAGCTGGGATAATATTTGTATCGCTCAAAGGACGAGGTAAAGATGATACTGATGTGTCAACTGCCACAGGGATATTGTTAATAGCCCCTTTGCTTTTAAACTGACCCCTTACACCAGCAATAGTCCATACTGACATAAAGACGTGCCTTGCTGCAACAAGTCGCTCTTCGATTCGATTTAATTTTGTAATAGCACGGGGTAATTCCTTTAATTCAAATCCATTTGCTGTACATAATCTGGGCCGTTTTAAGTCTCTGATGTCAAGAAAACACGTGTTACAAAATAGCCCCTCTAATTCTAATTCGTCCATATCAGCTTCCACAACGGATGATCCTAATGAGCCAAATACATATTTAACAAAATTAAGTGAAGCTCCCTTAACAAAAATAACGCCTGCTTTTAATTTTTTTGACTGAGAAGGAAACCATGTTCCGTTGCAACAAGGACAAATACATGTTGGCCCTTCTTTTATTAATTTTTGATACTGGGATCAAAATATCGTTAAATGCACTCTACAATAAATTTCTCGTGTTAGCATAAAATGTGAAAGTTTAAAATAGTATTTACCTGGCCTGTATCTTCTTCAATTGCCTCGTCTTCATCGACCTCTTCTTGTTCTTCCAGCAATTCCTCCATCCCTTCGCTCTGTGTCATGCATTTACTCGCCCTGTTCATTGTCTGCATAACCTAACCATGATCGCAAACTCCTTGTCAAACCTTGTTCTAGAAATTAATATCAGCGTCTCTTGTCCGCTACCAAACTCCCTGTAAAATCTTGTACCAAAAATGATATCAGTATATCTTGCCCGCCACCGAACTCCTTGTAAAACATATCATTAATCTGCCTCTCCATATTACTCCCGCTTCCTTTCTGACTCAACCCTAGTAAACCTTTTCCCGATTATCTTTTACTTTTATTCCTAATCCAGTTTTCCCGCCCGTGTTAAACCATAACTATTCCCCGAACCCTCATATTAATCAATGTCAACTAAATCCAGCCTGTTAATACTCGTGAAATCTCTATTACATTACTCACCCTTGTCAGTAATCTACTCATGAATTTGTTCTGTAAAGTCCCTGGTTAATCTATAATTTAAACCCACCGTAGTTTCTCCCATCACCTTAAGTCGAAAAGAACTGACAAAACTATTAAAATTTATTGAACTGAAAACACTGGAAGGGGGGTAGTTTAAGTAAAATTTACACTGACAATATTAATGAATTTCAATGCTATTCTCATCACATTCAGTTCAATGCGTTAACTTATTTAAACAGACAGAATTTATTGTATTCAGTTCATAGATTTCAACGTATTTTTAATATTATTCAAATCATTTATTCATTCAAATTTTTTTGGGGTAAAATGATACTTTTTTATTATTATTATTTTTGTCGAAATACTTTATTCAAATCACAATGATGAACAACAAAGCTGAATTTACTCAGTACCTTAAATACTATTTAGCACTAAGATTCCTACTATACATGATGCTTACCTTCTTAATTCTGGTTTTTCCAAAAAAAAAACTAATTGTCATTACCCGTACTCTCCTGTATAAAACATATTATTAAAAGATACATTAACTAAATCAATATTTGCTTAATACCTGTTGTTGCTCTTGTTGATCATTCTCTTGCTCTTCAGTTTCTGTTGATGAGCTACATAATTACAATGCATTAGTTACGTATTTAAAACATGTATTAGGACATTATACCTCATGTATTTCTCCTTGTTCTGGTAACACCTTTTAACTAGATATAACGCGACCCAATCCTCTTCGCAAAGTGATAAATCCACGTCCATTTCTAATACTCTTGCGTTTAGAATATCAATGATCTCTCGACGATAACATGGTAAAACTTGACTCCACGACGGAGGATGGTTTTTGTAAGTAACGCTTATGAGTGACTTCACCCTATAATATGCACAGCTTCTTATGGTTTCATAAATATGAGCAGTATCTTGTACGTCCGGGTTCAGTAGGGATAGAGCTTGCAATATGTCACGTTTTAACAATTTACGTTTTTTCAACTTTCCATCTGGCCCTGTCACTGTTGGTACTGGTATTTTACTTCGGCTTTCCCTTGCTGTCGCATTACTGGTTAAGTTGTCAGTTTCATGATTACTAGTCATCTGTTTTTGCATGGCTTCCAATCCATTTGTGTTTTGGCGCAACATCTCCTGAATCTGACAAAAATCTTGTTGCAAAGCGATTACCATCTCATTATTCTTGACCAATATGTTTTCCAACGAGCTTATCTTTTCTAAGACTTCCGAATCTTTGGATTTTTTGGGTGGCATCTCTTTTTTTTTTGGAACACGAAATAAGAGGTTTTATAAATCAAACAAAAAAAAATTTTTTTTAACCTAATGTGACTGCTAAATCTTGTTGGCGGATCACCTTAAGTTTTACATTCATAAAATAAAATACGTTTCACTTCATTCCCAAGTTGTCAATGCCATTTGAATGTAAAATCTGCTATAAACAAGTGCGGGACGAAAACCGTGCAGTTCATTTCCGTGAACATGAAAAAAAAAGAAGCGAGGAAGAAATAAATATTATACATAGCCGCATCAAGGCTGGGCGTTTGAAGCGAAAGCGAGTGTCTTCTGAAAGTGTTCACCAGTCTGGGGAAGCATCCGTGACAATCACGACGACACCAACGCCAGCAACAAAAACAACAACAACAACAACAGCATTACCAACAAAAAAACCAACAACAATTACATCGGCAGAAATAACAGGGCAATGCATAAGTAGAACAGTAACAGAAGAAACATTATCCGCAGCACCACAAACTGTAAACCAAGAGAATAACGGAATTGATACCTTGCAATCCTTTGACTTTGATGATAGCAATTTTGAGGCTAATGAGAATCAAGAGGAAGGAGGATATGAAGAAGAATTAGTCTATTTGTATTCAGATAGTACAACTTTCACGGTTACAGACCCTAAAAGAAATCGTCTTGGTGTTGACCAAAAGAATCATGAACTTTACAAAATTTTTGAAGACGATAATATTAAACAGGGCACAATTGACAAAATTATTGCTTGGTACAATAATCAAAAGAGCAAAGGTAAGCAGAAATTGTAAAGCAAAATTGGACACTTCTCTTATAGCTTTTTTAACAGATCAGACCCCTCTTCTTTCGTACAAATCGTACAAAACAAAGGTCAAGCATGATGCACCATTCCGACCATTAGATCTTGAAACGTGTATAAACGCTTGCTACGTATTT